TAATACTTTTATTATTAACCTTTTATTTATTATTATCATTATAATTTCCTCTTCCCCTTAGGGTATCAGCCGCCTGCAACAATAAAGTAATACCAAAATCATTTTTTTGTGAGAGAGGCAGTGGGATTATGTTTATATCAACCAGCCTGCTCGGTGTAGCTTTTGACTGATACGTTTAAAAAAGAGGGAACCTTATACCGAGTAAACACTGCCAATTGACTTCATTTGATTGAGTCGGGGCCAGCTAGATTTTTCTTCAAAGAGGGAAAAAAACTGCCGTTTTGGCACGATTCGACCGAATTCAACTAAATTCGACAGAGACTTTCAAAACCAAATGCTCTTTTTTCAAGGTCGCGAGTGGAATCGGTCGTTTTGGGACCAATCATTGCCCCCCACCCCCACCCCTGCGCCCCCCAACATCCAAATGGAGGAAAAAACCTGTCTGGCACCGACTAAATTCGATAAACTGGATTCGAGTGTGCACGCGGTGTTAATGCACACCTGCCGAAGGTGAACACTGAACACCTCTTGTGCACGCGTTAGTTATCTCGGGGAGAACGTCAGGTCAGCATAATATCGATCCAAGAAATCAATGAATAGCAGATATCAAATACACCAGTGCTGTTTCACTTCCGTATTAGAGGTCTGTTCATTAGATTAAAAAACGTACCTTGGCGTCGTTTGATCGGTGTTTAAAGTTCATAATTCTTTCACAATGGTGACACTCCTAACCCCAAAACTCGTTTCTACTCCTTGCATGGCCCGTTGCCGTTTATTTCTTTTGTTTAGAATATTTTGTAGGGCCTAAAAAGAAAAAAATATTGCTAAATGTCATCTCTATGTAGTAAGAACAGCTTATACTGTGTCATTGGTTTTTGTTTGATTTTGTTTGTTTGTTTGTTCGTTTGGGAGAGGGTAATCAGATCTATCGGTTTAAAAACATAGCATGTAACACAAACTTGGTCTAGAGTTTCAACTTCTATAAGCAAGTAGGAATATAAGTTGAAAATAAATCTCAGTTTCATGAGCTCGTTGAAGGTATATTAAACTTAAATGTTTTGCCCACAGCTCTAATGCGTTGGAGGCATAGACAACCTGTCTACACAAGTAGGGAAAGTCAAGAATATTTCACACGAGATGTTTAAGCAAAGATGCAAATTTGTCTCAGCATTTTCCATTGCTCTTGCAGGGCTCTAGGATAGCCAAGATACTTTCGCTATATAATTAGTATTGTTATGAAAGTTGGGAGAAAATCCTTGGCGCCGTCTTCAAGCAAAAAGACCTTCTTAGCTATGTAGGATTAGGAGATGGGAGAAGAATGAAAAGTGACCTCAAACATACAGAGATGCCGCCAAGGGACAGTAATTCAGCTGTAGATCCATTAAGTTATAGAGGAGAGTGCAATGTGCAGCCTTTGCAAGAGCGTGTTTCTTCAGATTGGGCAAGAAAAAAAAATGAAAAGATAACAATGAAAGTGTAGATTTCATAATTTATAGAAAAGAGAAGCGATCCAACTTTATACCGCGCTTTTCCTTGCTTTCTCAGCAATCTGCTCTCT